AGGGAAGGCCTTATCCCTAAAGCTTAAATAACAATCAGTTATTTTTATTAATCTGTATCAGTTTGGAAACAAGCCCTTGGTATATCATATGGACAAATATCAATATTGGAAAAGCATTTTCCCCAGTCATGCTGAATGGCTCATTCTCTTGGTGGACTGTCCAGTTCATTCCTATTGTTGAAAGTCATCTATCACTCCTGGTGGTAAACATCATAAATATTCCAAAATCCAGTGTAGGTGTTGAGACAAAAAGAAGATAACGAAGAGGAGAAATTGCCAAAAAGAGAAAACTGATAATATTTCTATACAATCTAACAGCTTGCCAAAAGTAATAGTTTAGACTTCTGTAGATTAAATGGAGATATACATAATAAACTATTTTACTCTAGATAAGCTCACTTCTTTGATTTAGAGCCCAGGAGGAAGAGGAATGCCATATCTCCCTCCTTCATCTTGTAGTCTGCTGAATAATTTGTGGTAATTCAGAAATAGCTCCAAGCCCTCACATCTGGAATTGTAGGGGCACAGTTGAAGTCTCACCCCTACTTGAAACTACTTGAAACATTGATAGGGAAATTATACTTATCAGCCAGAGCCTGAGGTTCCAACCAGCTGGCTGGAATGCACACTGACAAGTGCAATGAGAGAGCAGCTCTTCTGCATGATGATTTGTCCTATACAGGGCAGAGGCTTGAAGGCATGAGAAAAGGCTGCTGCAACACCTTTCTAGGCATTCTGCTCCTCTAAAAATGAAACTTGTCAGTGTTCTTCTCCCTCTTTTTTTTTCGTTTGTTTTTTGTTTTTTGTAGATGTGGATGTGTAAAATTGACAGCTAATGTGAGCATTAGAGTTTACAGTACACTCTCAATGAAAGGCTTATGAAGACTGAGTGTGTATGTGTGTAAGGGGGTAATGTAGCCCATTTCTGTCTTCTCATTCTTTAATCACCATCTAGCATCTAGAATCTTCTGTATTTTAAATTGCAGTGGATTAAAGGAAATAGATGTGGAACCAGAACTCAGATCTACAATTAGTTTTAAGATCTTGTCTGACGTTCTTTTCACTTCATATTTCCTGTCTGGGGAAATGCTATTACAGCATCTAGGTACATTTAAGTGCTGTTATGTTTAAGTGCTATACAAACCCATTATAAAAAATATGCACACCAAACCCAAAGAGCTGTATTTCCAACTTCACAAAAGTACTTTGATAATTAAGTTACAATTTTTTTTTTTCCAAAAAAAGGTTTGAGAAGAGGAGACTGATTAAACCCAGCATCAGTTGGCAGACAGGACAGACAAAACAGGTTTCTTTTCATTTATGTGATGAGGAATATCAAGTGGCAAATGCCTTTTTTCCCCACCCTAGCTGTATGATAAAAATCAAAAGACAGTATTCTGAATTTTTAAACTTTTAAAACAGTTTCCAAACTTCAACTTTGTAATCAGATCAAAGTTCTCAACATGGCTAAACAATCCCATCTAGAGCTCATTGAGTGTTATCTTCCAAAAGCAGTAAAATAGCTCATCTCCCTTTTCTGTTACAATTATTTCACTAAATATCTGACATTTACTGCTGACATTGAAGTAGTGAGGGATTTTTTTTTCTCTGTTTTCCTTCAAATGGAAGTTTCTTGTGAAATGATGAGGAACATTTCAGAGTTGTGACAGAAATATTAATAACTCTGCTTTGTCCAATTTTAAATATGGTTGAATATAGAGCACTTCAGCATATAAAGCAGGAACATAACCGCTAGTGTCTGAGAACTCTTTAGCATGCACTGCCAAATATACAAATGCACACATTTCAAAACCACACAGACATGAAAATTTGCAATTGAGAAGCAAAACGAGTTCAATAAAAAGACAAAAAAAATTCTTTATGTCTAATGGCAAAGTACCCCGATGCTGCTATTTTAGGAAGGAAAATTAATGATCATTTTCTACAAAGGAAGCACTTCTTCTCTGTAGTTTAGAACTGATTAGTAAATGAATATGCAGAAAGCTCTCAAAGGAATTAGAGAAATATGAATCTGTGCACTTCAATCTATTTTATACATGTTCTGCACGACCTCAACAACTAGAGCTAATGCTCCCTCAGCTCCATTGAACTAATTAAGCTAGGTCATTATATTAATAATAGGTTGCCCTTCTGTCTGCATTTATGGCACTTAGCAAGTCACTGTGAGTGTGAACACTTATCTCATGAAGGAGAGAGCTCCTGACAATGAATTAGATTAATCCATCAAGAGAACTAATGTGACTTGATTACTGTTGATATCTGAAGAAGCTGGCATACACAAACAGGTATCTGCAGCTGTAGGAAGCAAGCAACAACACCGCAAACAACTGGGCAAGGCCCCAAGCCTGTATTATTCAGCAAGGAGGTGGCTGACACCAAGACCTGGTGACAGGATGCTGATGTGGCACATGCAAAGGGTGCCACAGGATCTGAATGCAGCTATCGATGCTTAGGTTCACTCAGCTGGGTTGGTATTTTGCCACAAATAGTTCTAATGCCATCTGTCATGTAGAAATACCTAATCTAATTAGTTTTCACTTATCTTTCTTTTCTTAAGTGGCATGAAAAAGTAAACATATTTCAAGAACAAAATTAATTAGGAAAAATTCTGCAGTCACCACCCCGAAAGTATAAAGGCAACTGCACTTTGGGAATGGCTTTGCCAGCTTTCTTGTTCTGTCAATTCTTTCACCTCCTTCAGTTCACTTGCTGATAGAGTGCCATAGAAAAAGTTCCTAATGGCTTGGAACCTTAGCTCCTTAAGATGATGATACTTGGCTGAGAACAGAATGCAATGATTCTTCTGTCATAAATGTTAAAATATAACAAAAAGTTGATTGCTGGGATAGAGGAAAAGGTTTCAAAATTTCTGAAGTGGAAACTTATAAAGAAAAAAGGTTCTCTTCCTGGCAGAGAAAAATACGCATGTGAACTGATTTGTATTATGATTTAGTATGAAACAAGTTAAAAAAAAAAAAAAGTTTTTCAAGTGATCTTAATGCTGTCTCCTAGAAGTTGATTAGCAGTTCCAGAACTTCCTTCATGAAGAATGCAGCTTTAGAGATCTCTCAATAGCACCCAACATTTTTGATTCATCATTGGCTGTGGCACAAGGGAAGAAATACTTGACTTGTAGTTTCATGCCTACAAACCCACTATATTCAATTTGTTTTCCTCATAAATAGGGGAAGGCATGAAGTGATTCAAGTCTCACAGAAGTGTTCTTCAGCCTTTCCATGTCCCCTCTGCCCTCCTAACTACAGGCTGAAGATCCAAAGATTAAGCTTGGTGAACTACCAAGATCTTCTGTAGGCACTGGAGTAGGGAAGAAAATGTTCATATGGTTTGTTAAACAAACAAACAAAATGAAATGTCTATACAATTAAGCTGTTTGTTTAAAACAGGATATATTGAAGTAATTCAAGATTTTATGGATACAAATTTGTTTAGGTATTTATCTGCAGTGTAACAGTCATTTAGAGATAAAGTTACTGGAGTGCTCTTGAGCTTCAATGGCATAATTCATGGCACTCTTCTGTTTCCTAACAGCACATGGCAATATAGGCAGCCCTATGAAATAGCCATAAAATAGCTATTTGGATGCATAATAGCAAATACACACTAAACCCAGTAAATCCTGAGAAAAATCTGACAACATAGGAATCACTGGGTGCAGCTTGCAAAGGTGATTTTATATATTATTCACATAAAACTATTACTTTGACTAATGAAGTCTATAGAACAAGGAAATGTTTCCATGAACAGCAGAACAAGAGGAAGAAAAATAAAATAAAATAATGTGCAGGCTATCTGTGCAGGCTATCTTAAAACATTTTTGACTGTTATTTCAAAATCAAATTTCCACAAATAAAGAGAAAAATTTTATTCATTGTGGCACTCTCTGCAAAGTCGGAAGGTTAAAAGAAAGTCATTTTGTAACCAAGCATAAAATAGGCATTTGAAAAATTATTTAGCTGGGAAAAAACACAATTTTTTCCACATTAAGATAACTTAAGAACACCCAAATTGATTTTTATTAGACTTCTCATATTCACTTCTGAGCTGACACATGCATGAGACATTCAGCCCCAAAGGTCACTTCTGAGAAGGCTATAAGTAACTGGAAACAGCACTGCAGGATGAAATGATGGCTCATTGCTGACTATTACTGCTGGAGAATGATAGATATTTTACTCCTGAGGCTAAGAGACAGATTCTGTAAATAAATTTTTATTTCTTGGCAGTGCCGATAGCTGGAACATGATGTGACAGAGCCGGTTTTCCCAATGTTATTATTTGACTTAAAGAGAGCGCGGGATGAATGCTGGCAAGGCCCGTGGGCCTGTGTTGGAGGGAGCCCACCACAGGCTTTTCTCCAGGGCCAGCAGAGAAGGGCACAGGGCGAGCCCTGGCTCCTGGCACCACATGGCGAGTGGCCAAGCCCAGAGTGCTGCTCTCGTCCTCCTGCTCGTTGCTCTGCCCCAGCTGCTCTGCTAAAACCTCTGCTCCAACGCGCAACGCAAATGTGCTGGTCAGCCTGGCTGTGGACACCTCACTCCTCCTCCCCAGGCTTTGGTCACTCCATGCTTTATTCTCTCCATCCCGGCTTCTTTTTGGTGCCAACATGAGTCACTGAGGTTGTTCAGCCCAGAGAAGAGGTGGCTTGCAGGGGCTGTAGCCAGGTAAGCATCAGCCAGCGACAGGGCAAGAGGACACAGCCGCAGGCTGCGCCAGAGGGGGCTTAGATTTGATGGGAGGACGAATTTCTTCACAAAAGGTCTCATTAGACGCTGGAACGGCCTGCCCAGGGAGGTGGTGGAGTCACCATCTCTAGAGGTGTTCAAGAAAGGGCTGGACATGACATTTAATGCCATGATCTATTTGATTTGGTGGACTGTAATTCAGACGCCTTTTCCAACACGATAATTGTGTGAAAACAAAACACGAGCGGTCTCTGGTGAATTACAACTTTTCTCCAGAGCGAATCGCCGGCTCTGCTGTCCATCCCGGAGGGTGAGGAGGGGCTGACCAGCTGCCGGAGCCTCCCCACAGCGGGACCCCAGCCGCCTTCGCAGCTCCGCGCTCCCGGCCCCGCCTCTCCCGGGCCGTCACGGGCCTGGCGCAGGCGCGGCTCGGCCATGGCGGCAGCCGTGGAGCGGCGCCTCGCTGAGTTCCGCGCCGCCCGCGGCAGAGCTGCCGCTGCTCCGCGTCCAGCCGAGCCGCCGGGAAAGGCCGCGGCTCCGGAGGCCGCCGAGAGACCGCGGGCAGAGGCGGAGGTCCCGGGCGGCAGCGCTCAGGTGAGCGCCGAGGCGGGCGGGGCGGGGGTGCGGCGGCCGGCCGGTGCCTGACGCCGCGTCTCCCCGCCGCCTCCGCAGGGCCGGCCCGCCGCGGCGGCGGCTCCGGTGTGGGCGCGCCCGCTGCTGCTGAAGGTGCTGCTGTGGGCCGTGCTGCTGGCGCTGTTCGTGGAGCTGGAGCTCGGGCTGCCCTATTTCGTCCTCTCCCTGCTCTACTGGATGTACGCCGGCACCCGCGGCCCCGCCGAGCGGCGGCCCGGCGAGCTCAGCGCCTACTCCGTCTTCAACCCCGGCTGCGCCGCCATCGCCGGGACGCTGACGGCCGAGCAGCTGGAGCGGGAGCTGCACTACCGGCCCGCCGCGGGCAGGTAGCGCCGGGCCCGGCGGGGTCTGCCCTGCGCTGGGCCGGGACAGCCGCCGCCCCCCCGAGGAACGGCCGGGGCTTGGGGAAATGAAATGGGATTTGTTCCTTTGCAAAAAACCACCTGAGCCTTACTGCTGGCCCCGTGTCCCACGGCGCCGGGCGGTCCCGAATAAAGCCGTAGCAAAGCCTGCGCTCTGGTCTCGTTTCCTGGGGCCGGGCAGCTGTTTGGGCCGCTGGGGAGCGGCCCCGAGAGGCACGGCCTTGTCACAGCTGCGGCTGCCAGCGTGTCACCTGGAGAGCTTCAGCTCCCGAGAACTTTGCCACAGGTGACAGACACAAAGGCTGGCGTTTGACACCTGCTGCTGCTGTCCCCTGCACCGGGTGGAAATCTCATTCTGAGAAAACGACAAGAAGCAATAGCCATATACGTAAAACAGGCTGCTGCTTTGGTTTGCAGTGGTGTCTTTGACCTAACACAAACATCAGATTATAATTCCCTTTTTGCTTCATATTGCAGTTTTCATAATTGTAAGCTTATAAAAAATACTTATTCCTGGTAGCTGTATTTGTATGATCTACTCCTGATTTTAATATGCAGATCACTGCATTGAGCCAGACCCGCTCAGCAAAGTAGTAGTCACCACTGCTTAAAGCATGGAAAAAAACACACGTGTGGCATTTGAGAATATGTTCTATGGTGGTGATGCTACACAGAGAGTTGGACTTGACGATCTTTAAGGTCTTTTCCAACCCTAACAATTTTATGATTCATTAAGTCATCATTTTGAAGAGCAGCTGCTAGAGCTTATGTCTCTGAGAACGGAGTTAAGAAGAAAAGTCACACATTGGTTCTTCAAGTCCTCTTCCATTATGTATTCTAATTTAACAGTTAAACACATTAAGGTTTGACTCAACACAAGTTTGATCATTGGTTGTAGAAACAAAAGAAAGTGGTGCTTTGAATTTAACTGGACTAGTAAGAGAGTAATAGCTGAAAGCACATGCAATATGTGAAAACTGATAAGCATCCCTCAGTAGCTCTCCACAGCACTCTCACAGTTGGGCTGTTGTATAAATTTCAAGTCGTGCTATTTGAAGGCAAAAAATTTTGTCATTTGCACGTATTCTGTAATCTTCCAGTAAACCCCCCCTCCCTCAAGTTTTCACTATTCTTACTGATTCCTTTTGCCTCTATAACACGCTGCATTTTGTATTTGATTAATGTAGGCTCAGCAGGGTCAAACACCTCTAGGTAGAGGACACACATTTGCCCATATAAAGCATTGTTTCCTTGAAAGAACCACAGACTCTGAATCTTTCCATTCTTAAGAAGTATTCTAGTAACAGGGTAAGAAGTAGTTAGATGGTACTCAAAACACCTGTAAGCAATGGAATTTTGTGAGTTGAAACTTTATTCACAACAATGAAAATAAACATCAGCATAGTGTTTATGGGGAGTTGATAATCTGACATCTTGTACAGTTCTGTGGGTATTTTTTAAAACAAGGAAATATGTGCAAATAAATATTAAATATAAGGTAAGATCAATGAAATTATAAAAATTCATAGCAGCAATGCTGGAAATAAAGTTTTCACTTGCTATACACTCTAACTGCATTATGTCCAGGTGGATTTATAGACTCTTGTATTTAATGCTTCATGAAACAAGTTACCACAGTAAGTGAGCATGAAGCCAAAAGGCACAAGAAATAAAAATTGACACAGTTCATCTCTTCCAGTGCTTTGTGTTGGTTTGCTTATTTCATGCTACTCAAATAAATGTACATTACACATTGTGAAACAGAGATGGCATGAATAACAAAGACTTGTAAAAGGTTTTACTGAAGTAGATAAAGTATGATGGAGAAATTGGCATTGAGGCCTTGCTCAGTCTCTAAATACACAAATACTGTAAATCTGCTTGGTGTTAATTACTTCCACTGAGTTGTTTTGAGAGGGGATTTTAAAAGGTTTGAAATAGTGAGAGTTTAATTAGAGGGGGGAAAAATTTCCGCTGCAACCTTCTGCTTGGCTGAGACCTCACTTTGTTACCTTACTTTTGTCTGGTGTTCTAACAAAGCAGAAGTCACCAAGATAAGTTAACTGGAGCTATTCCTGTGTGTCCAAAGCCCTCAATTCACAAATGGGGAGGGACAAGAACAGCTTACTACTAACTCAAAAGCACGTCAAGCTGTTGAATCTTGCTTGTGACAGCAATTAAGTACAGGTTTGTTACCACACATGGAAATGCTCTCTGTGCCCATGTCTGTCCTCTTTCATTTGTTACATACACTTGTTTGTCCAGCACTGCAGTGAGTTAGAACACTTCTGTAACTTCCTGTTGTCATAGCAGAACTGTCATCTTGCCAACAGCTGCACAAACAGCAGAAACTTTTTTTTCCCAAGTTTGCACACAACTAAGCAGAATCAGTATCCACTCTTGAATATTAATGAGTGAAATTATTCCCACCAGTGTGCATTACGTCACAGCTGTAAATTTGCATCTGTCACCATGCTGCCCTTTCACCTGCCAGTGACAATCTGTAGTACTTTTTTCCTATTCTTAGCACTTCAGGATAGACATTAGATAGAAACATCAAGCATACTCTGTACCTACAGGAAGCTAATTATTTAACTGCAGGACAGCAGTTAACGCCTGCATGTAGCGGACAAGTATTGTATTGATGGTCACACAACACAGAAGCTAGTTATTAAATATACAGAAGAACCTGAAGTGCTTCGTTACTAAGTCATCTTTGCAACTGATGTTAAGAGAGGGAAGGCCTGGAAGCAGCCTGCAGAGAAGCCAGCATGCTGAAGACACATAAGCCAGCCTGAGAACTGTGGTGGATTTCTGCAAACATGTCTTTCTCCCTGGAGCTCAATTACTAGCATTAGAGGACAATGTGGTAACACATCCTCTTTAATTCAATTCTAACCTTATGATTGCAAAACTAATCCATGCTGTTGGCAATTAGGATTCTAATACAATGATTAAATAATCTCATGCAAAGCAATCTAGCTTCAGGCAGGAAAGATGCTGAGTTACATCCCAGAATATCCAGTCCACTTTCTTGGTAATAGGGGCTGTGAATGCAAGTGCCAAGAGACTTGAAAATAGGGAGGGTTATTTCTGCTGAGTCGCTGTAACTGCTTTGCCATGGAAATTACTTATTTGTTACAAAAACTCTGTGAGCAGGGAGATTCTCAGAGTTTGTCTTTGGCTCTTGGCCTCTTTGTTGTAAGGGGAGCCCAAGTAAGAATAAAGCTGTACAAAGCTTGTTATTAAGTGATGCAATGTACCACATCCAGCTTCTAAAGGTACTTCTGCTTGTCCCCAGCAACTCTTGTCAGTGTGAGGGAGGGAACACACTACACAGTGTGGATGCAGTCACTGCATGAGCCCTTGTTGTTCTAAACAGACAGAAAAAAAATCTCACGGAGTTCAGGATTTTTTGTTTGGAGTTGTTGGTTTTGTTTGGGGATTTTTGGAATGCCGCTGATGGGAAGCTGGCAGGCGCTCAGGCTGGCAGCCCACCCCGGGAAGGGGGGCGGGAGCTGTCCTTGGTCCCGAACCCGCGCCCTGCGCCAGGGCCACCCCCTGCGCACGCGAGGGTACCTTGTGTCACCGGAGAGAATGACCAAGGGCGGAGGGGAAACAAAAGTGAGCACGCACTACCAGCTACCGAATCTTTGCCATGAGGAGAGGTCTGCTGAGAGCAGCAGTGGCCGCAAGCTGACTTCTTTCTGTTTGTTTGCACCCACAAGAAGCAGAGTAAAGCTCAGACAGGAAAGGTTCTCTTGAAACACAAGCCATCACCCCATCCCTGTGAACACCTGTGTGTCCACGAGGTGGGCAGCCTAGCACTGACAATGGAAGGGCTCTGCATGCAGAGCACATTTCCATCCATGTCAAAAGAGATAACGTGCACCTATTCCTAGCAGAGGAGGTACCTAACAGATACTGCATATTTGTTTTGTTTGGGGTTTTGTACTTTTTAAAGTGAAACTTGAAGACAGTATTCAGAAGTGCTCACTACACTACCTGCTATATACTGACAGACCTTCAGGATGCTGTTCTTCACGTACCCAGAAAACAGATTAGCACATTTTCATTAACTTTGGGAAACCCCTGCTACCAAACTGATTCTTTCCTGAAACACAAGTTATGTCCCACTAAATTATTTTTTTCTAAAAATGGTGATGGCACCTTACCCTATCCCCAAAAAAGTCTAAATGTATTTTTTTGGCAATAATTATATTCTATATCCTTGTAATTTAATCAGTCGATCACTCAGCTCACCCACTCAACAGTAATAAGCCATTGACCCTGTGGTTTCAGACTGGATCAATGCAACGCTTAAGTTTTGGACCCCTGGAGGCCTTGTGTGCAAATAGGAAAAAAACTCTTTTAACTTACTTTAGACATGACCAATTTTTCCTCTGATGTGTTCATTACATTAGCACATTGCTTTCCCTAGAAACCTTTGTCCAACAGCCTGCAGGCGATGAGCAGCACATGCTTAAGTTTCTTGCTGGAGATGGCAAACTTAAGCCACTTGCTTGGGTGTTTAAGGGTTTTCAGGTACATTATACAGCTCATTGTTCTCAGTCTGATTCACCTGCAGAAATCTCAGCTGAATGTGGCCTGACAAGTGGCAGCATAGACACTGCTGCCTACTGTGCCCCCACTGCTGATGCTGTTGGCCGGACACTTCAGAGGTTTCATACTGCTGTCTCTCTGGACATACAAGTGTTCCAGTCTCCAGCGCTCCCAGCTTTTCCGAAACTCCATCTGAACCTAACAGAAGCAAAGGAGGAAACAAAAGGAATGAATGTAGAACTAATCAGCTCTTTGAATTACTCCATCAGAAAACAGCAAGGATATCACACTACTGAGAAAAACTAGAAGTGCTTTAAACCTGCAGTATTATTGCTTGCAATTATCCAATTATTTCATTAATCCATTGTAGGCCATTCCACATTTAAAATAATGATGACATTCATTTTTACTTGTAGAAAAAAAGCTCTTCTATGCACCAGAAAATCTTACCTTCATTACTTTGTTCTAAATTGTATTCACCTGCAATACTGATTGGACTCTATGCCCTACCAGTACTAACAATTAAGCTGACTTTGCTTATCAGCCATGAAACAGCTGAAAAGACTGACTTTCTACTCAATATTGCA